AAAGTTTTATAAAGTACTTTTTCTAGGTCCTTTGGAATAGTATGATTTTTGTCCTTTTTTATTGATGTGGTATATCACATTTATTGATTTACATATATTGAACTAATGTTTCATTCCTGGAATAAATCCCACTTGATCATGGTATGATTCTTTTAATATATGTGTGAACTGAGTTGACTAGTATTTTATTGAGGTTTTTCATATAAGTGTTCACATGGGTTCACATCTATATTTTCTTTTTGTAATATTCTTGAATGATTTTAAGTTCAGGACAACTGCCTTCAGAGAATGTATTTGGGAATTTTCTTTCTTTTTCTGTCATTCACTTTTATGGAAGCATTGAGGAGCATTGGTATTTTTTTTTGGCATGGATTGGGGTGAGCTAAGGGTGCAGAGAGGAGAACTGATATTTTTTAAAAGTATGATAGAATTCATCTGTGAAACTATCTAGTAATGAAATTTTGGTTTGTTGGGTTGTGTGTGTGTGTGTGTGTGTGTGTGTGTGTGTGTGTGTGTAAGACTTGATTAGTAAGTTTTCTTATTCACAATAGTCTGTTCAGTTTAAAAAAGTTTCTTCCTGATTCAGTCTTGCAATAATGTAGGATTTTTGGGATTTGATCATTTCTTCTAGATTGTCCAATTTGTTGCCATATAATTGTTTTTATTTTATATGACACTTTGTATATCTACAGTATCTGTTGGACCAAATTTTAATTATTTTCTTCTTTCTACTTATTTTTTCTTTTATTTTTTAAATAGATTTTTAATTATTTCATACAGATTACAGCTAGATGAGTTCTGATATCTTTTTTTTTTTTTCATTTTGGGTCACACAAACCCGGCCATGCACAAGGGTTACTCCTGGCTCTGCACTCAGGAATTACTCCTGGCAATACTTGGAGGACCATATGGGATGCTGAGAACCAAACCCAGGTCAGCTGCGTGCAAGGCAAACTCCCTACTCACTGTGCTATTGCTCCAGCCCCTTCTTTTATCTTTTAAATTAGGTAAAGCTTAGATTTCTTACCAGGTTTGTATTTCCCGATATTGACATTGTATAAACTTTACTCTCAGTACCACTCCTTCCATCCCATAGGTTTGATTAGTTGTGTTTTCATTTTCATTGACTTACAGGTATCTTAAATGACTTAATAGTTGTTCAGCAGCATGTTGTTTATTCCCTATAAATTGCTAGTTTTCCTTTTTTTTATTGATTTTAAGAATTACACTTAAAAGATTCTTAAAAGATACTTAAAAGAATCAATCCTAAAAGTTTCTTGCTATAAAGTCTACATTGAGGAGGATTGGTGTTCTTTTTGGCATGGATTGGGGTGAGCTAAGGGTGCAGAGAGGAGAACTGATATTTTTTAAAAGTGTGATAGAATTCATCAGTGAAACTATCTAGTAATGAAATTTTGGTTTGCTGGGTTGTGTGTGTGTGTGTGTGTGTGTATAATTTTACTGGAATTTGTTTTGTGTTCAAACAGAGTTTGCCCTTGATAGTGTTCTGCAGGCACATGAGAAAAATGTGTATTATCAAGTCACCTAATTTTTTGTTTTTGTTGATTTTCTGTCTTGACAATCTATCCATTGCCGTAATTGGGGTGTTAGGTTACTTACTATTATTGTGTTGTGTTAATGACTTCCCTTCTACTACTTGCATTATTATTTGGTTGTTGGGAGCGTATTAACAATTGTTAAATATTCCTGTTGTACTGAACCCCTTCATTTTTTTGTGTATTTTTGTTTCATGCCCTTTGGGCCACACTGGCTGTGCTCAGAACATACTCTTGGCTCTGTACTCAGGGATCACTCCTAGAGGGTGCCCAGGGGATTTGTGGTCATGGGATCTAACTGGTATCTGCTCACGTAAGGCAGCACGTAAGGCCTGAACCCCCTCTTCTATCTTCCATTGCTTCGGTGAAAATATTTATTCTGAAATAGCAATTTTGCTTTTAAAATATTGTTAATTGGAGTAACAGCTTGCATTTTTCAGCCTTTTGTTTTTGTTTCAGCCGCACCTGGCAGTTCTTGGGGCATACCCTTCACTTTGTGCTCAGGGATCACTCCTGGCAATGCTTGGGAGACCATATGTGGTGCCAACAATCCAACCTGGGTCAACTGCCTGCAAGGCAAGTGCCCTTTCCGCGCTGACCTACAGCTGAATTGTTATCTTTTTGACCTTGTGCTGTGGTGCTCGACTTTATTTTGTTTATTTTTGTTCTTACTTGAGTACTTAGACCCATATTAGCTGCTGCTTTGCGGCACAGAAAATGGGGTTGTGTCAAATACCAGCTGCTATTGGGAATGTGCTAGGTGTACAGGTGCTGGTTTGTGTTCACAGCACTGACATGTCAGTCCTACGTGAGTCCCCGTTCTGGGACAGAGCAGTCTAGCTGTGAACCACGCCTGTAAGATAAGCTCCACAGTGGTGGAGGGAGGGGCATTTTCCCTACTGTGTATTCTAGGGCATTTTCTCTATTATCTGCTACTGGACACCTGGTCTTATGTAGAACGCCAGCTCTGTGGGCTTCAAATGGATCTAGGGCTAAAACCTTCACACCGTCTGTCCACCCTTCCTAAGGCCTCAGGTTGGCTTGACCAACTCGCCGTATTTGTTCCCACCCACATCTCTGCCTTCACATCTTCTTATACATCCACCTTTGTTCAACTGTGTGTGAATGTTCTCAGCATCCTTTTTAGTGCAGTCACCGAAGTACAGTGGGTGCTTTAGTCCCACCCTGGGCTCTGGGATTCTCTCAGTGGTGTCTCTTCAAGGTCACTTGGTAATTGTTCTTGAGAGTAAAACCAGGGACCTCTTCTCTGGTGATATTGGTGACATTACCTTAAGCAACTTTTTATATATATATATATATTTTATTGATATATTTATTTATTTTGAATACCCATCCCTCCACCAGTGACCATTTCCCACCACCACGGATCCAAGTATCCCTCCCACCCCCCAACCTGCCTCTGTGGCAGGGCATTCCCTTTTGTTCTCTCTCTCCTATTGGGTGTTGTGGTTTGTATAAAACTTAAGTCTGATTTTCAGGGAGAAACATTGGATGATTTACATCCCATTGATCACTTTGTATATAGGGAGATGTCGTGTGGCCGTGCAGTTTGGAGTAAAGGTCCTGGTTCCCGCATACTCGAGCTATGCTTGTAGAGGCTCATGGTCACTGGGGTTCCATCTGGAGGAGGCGGGATGCGGCTCCTACCCCATCTGGGACTTCTCAATGATCTCGGCTCTTTTTGGGACCTGTTGCATTCTCCGGGAGCTGTGGAGCCACCCCCCCCCCCCCCCCCCCCCCGTGGCCTTTCTTCTCTGCGGCTGTGTGCTGTAAAGATGGTGCTGGGGGGCGGGATGTGGGCATGACTTCTGCAATCAGAGGTTACCTGGGAGCCGGGAATGTCCTGGCAGTTTGGAAGAAAAGTCCTGGTTCCTGCATACTCGAGCTATGCTTGTAGAGGCTCATGATCACCAGGTTTCCATCGGGAGGGGACGGGATGCGGCACCTACCCCATCTGGGACTTCCCGGTGATCTTGGCTCTTTTTGGGACCTGGTACATTCTCTGGGAACTGTGGTGCCGCCCAGCAGTCTTTCTTCTCTGCAGCTGTGTGCTTATGTGTATATATTAAGATGGTATTTTTAGTTAGAATAAGGACTGTAATGAGAGTTAAGCTTCCTAAGCTTTTATTTTGATTGGTGCTAAGAAAAACTAGATTTTTGGTGGGACCACCTTTATGAGCATGACTTTTATGTGATTTAGAATATAAAATATTTTGATAGGGGTAGAGCATGTTTCATTAAATCTTTTTTTGGAAATTGGAATGAGATATTTGGTGGCTACAAACATCTATCAAAATCTGCAAAGTAGTTGCTTTATTTGCTTCTTAATTTACTGCATCACTGTTATCCCCTTTTTCATTGATTAACTCGAGCTAGCGCCAGTAATGTCACCATTCATCCCAGAGGTTTTTTTTTTTTTTGCATTTTGGGTCACACCCGGCGATGCTCAGGGGTTACTCTGGGCTCTGCTCTCAGGAATCACTCCTGACGGTGCTCGGGGGACCATATGGGATGCTGGGCATCAAACTAGGGTAGGCCACATGCAAGGCAAATGCCCTACCTGCTTTGCTATTGCTCTAGTCCCCAGCCCTGAGATTTTAGCAGCCTCTCCTTACTCGTCTTTCCCAATGTTGCCTAATTGGAGGCTCTTTCAGGGTTAGGGGAATGAGACCTGTTATCGTTACTGTTTTTGGCATATTGAACATGCCATGGGGAGCTTGCCAGGCTCTGCCATTTGCTTCTTAATTAAAGTGCCTATTTATAGAGACTATCTCCAGCAGTGCTTGAACCAGATACAGCAGTCAGTGGTGGGGAAGTTTTTGCAAGGACTATGATTAAACTTTGGGCCTTGCACTAGATTTTAGGCACATGTTCTACCATGAGTGTGATATTCCAAGATGTGGACCCTGATTCAATCTGCTGTGGGGCAGTGCCTAATCTTATGAAGGCAGGGACCAGGAACACAGGGAATAGAACCCAGGGCTTTAAACATGCAAGGCATTTGAGTAATTCCAGGTTTTCACCTTTTGGTGTTTTGATCCTTGAAATTCTCCCCCCGCCACCCGACCCGTTCAAAATGTTACAAGATGCTTCAGGTACAACTTACCTCTGTGTTCTGTATTGTGACTTCTAATGATCTTACAAAAATCAGGACTCCTCAACGATATACATTTATGCAAGTATAATTTTACTAGTCTATAAATTAAAAATGTTTTACAGGTATTTCATGTGTTAAAATGACCTGTATTTCCCCCCCTGTACTTCCAGCTCCCTTCTCTCTCCTTTAAGCAGACCTGCACGTAAATTATTCCAGAACAATTAATGCTACTTTAGTCACAAATTATTGATCTTTTGTTCATAGTGCATATAGCCTTGCTGCTCTGCTTGGATTCTAAAATGAGGCTTTTTAATTGTGTTTTCCAGGAAGATATGAATTTAAATGAAGATAAAAAGGCACCATTGCGGGAAAAGGACTTCAGTATCAAAAAAGAAATGGTGATGCAGTACATTAATACTGCTTCCAAGACAGTAAGTAAAACTGTCAATTTGAAAAATAATGCGGCAACATGTTGCAGTGTGGAAAACAATGTATTTGTCTAATGAAGTACTTTAAGTCCTTGGGCAGCTGTAATCTGAGGACTTTCACATGTATCAAATGTATAATTAAACTCACAGTGTGTATCTGTATATATGTGTGTATAATGTGTATATATATAACATATATACACATAAGAAATATATGTTCATATATATATATGCTGTGTATGTGCATGTGGTTTCATTTTTTGTCTACACTCAGTAGTGCTTACAGCTCACTTTTGTCTCTGGGCTCAGAGATCACTTTTGGTGAGACTTGGGGGGACTAAACACCTTACCCTTGTCCTATCTCTGGCCCCACAGACACAGTATTACAAGTGCTTTGAAATATTTCTCATTTTCTAACTTGTGATTTTTGTTTCTTCGCTTACACTGCTAAGAAACACTGATTTGTTGGTCTACTCACTGTAAGACATCTTTTCTTGTTAGTGAATTAAGAGGGTTATTGATTTTTAATGTCATTTATACATTGAGGTAATGTTTGTATTATAGAAAAGTGAGATTGATTTTACTCTTACTTCCTTCGTCAGGATACATAATAGTGGCTTAGAGGCATATCTTAAACATGAGTTTCTCAATGGATGAAATTATCTTGTAACACATTATGAATGTAGTTATTGAAAAGAGCATTAAGCTTCTACATGGCTGCCAATTTTCTTGGGAGACATGAAATCTGTGGGTGGAAGTAATGACTAAATGTCTAAGAAACTATGACTGGCAGACAGAAGCAATTTATTTCATGGAACAACAAATGACTTTGACCAGTCATATAAAAATGTGAATAAATGGATTGGATGAAAAATGTGAAAGGGAAACTAGTGAAGAAACACAGAAAGACTAAAGATGATTTTGACGGAATTTAAGATAGAATTCGGTTAGAGAAGAAGAGCTTAATGGACCATAGTTTTCATTAGGTATTTCTGCTATGGCCAGGCAATTTAGGTTATCAATGCTTTACTTCTATAATCTACTAGATCAGTCACTCTGCAGTATTTTTTTTTCTTTTTTAAAGAATGACTCAAGTGATGCTGAATTTTTAAACATGTCTCATGTTCTGACAGTCTGATGTTCAGATGCAGAAATAACTGAGTTCTGTGCTTTTTTCCAGCTTCTGATATAGCTGGGTTCTGTATTTTGCTGTCTAATATTAATTGCTTTTGTTTCTTAGTGATAGCCAAAACCTCACAAGTTAGCGTTAAGGGTTTAGGCTAAAGCATTTGTGTTTTGAACATAGTGACTCATGGTCTGTTTTATTTGGTCTCTGATTTTGACCCTCTGAGCCTGAATTTTTCTCATGGGATTAATTCCTTCACGATTGGCTCGCTAATAAAATCAAATGGGATTAAAAAGTTCTTTCTCTTCCAGTTTTTTTTTTTTTGCATATATTGTTATTAGAAGTAAATGTTTTGTACTTAGAAGATAATAGATGATTGGTGACAGGCGATTGCATCTTCTAGCAGCAGTTGTGGTAGTAGCTATTGCATTTTATTTTTATGATTTGTTATTTGCTCTTGAAATTATTGGGCCATAATAAGTAAATGCTCTTTAATAAAAATGTTTGCATTTTGTGTTTTCACATTTCTAAGATATTCACTTGTTCATTTGTGGCAGTAAGTCAGATAACCAAGGACCTTAAGATAAGTGCACCAACGTAGTCTCTCTCTGTGCCCTTTGGAGTGACATATACATGTGTAAGAAGAGGTGAAATGCGCTCAGGGCGCCCAAAGTAAGATGAGCAAAGACACTGTGCTGTTATAGATGAGGAAAGACTACCTTGGTGTAGAGCATTAAAAATCCAAGAAGCTTGAATTTACTAAATTACAAGAGAAAATGCATTAATACTGGTTTAGAAAATCTTGGCACAGTACTGCATTTTAATTCTTGAATTTCACATAATAAACACTTCTGCATAGGAAAACAAACTGTTTTGAACTTCATTATAGTGGATCTATTTGTTTGTATTCACTGATTTTAAACTTTAATTTACCAGAATTAGATAATTGGATTATCAGGATTGAAGTAGATTAGTTGTCTAGAGTATGATTAAAGCATTGATTCGTTTAATTAGTGAGTGAAGGATCACGGTTTTTCTGAAGAAGGTTCTGAATTATTTGGCAAATGGTTGCCACTGTAGAAGGTTCAAACTGACCATCATCTCTTTTTGCTCTGGAAGTAGAAACACTTTTTATTATCTCTCTACAGATTCGGTCTTGCTACTATATTTTAATTGCACTGGAAAAAAGTGCTAATAAAGACAGATTCAAAATTTACAGGTTTTTCCAGAGAAGTTGTGAGGACTTAGTGTCACACCTCTTGATAAGGGTTTAGCCTTTGAATTTGCCTTGGGATCTAGGCATTGATGTTATATCTTGGCAAAGAATAATGACACTTTGCATTTGATGGTTTGAAAATGCTTTAGAAATATTAACGCTCTAACTAGCCCTTAAGTAAATAAACTTGGTTTTTAGAACAAGAACTAAAGGTATGATCAATCAAACTTGGCTATTTCTATGACTGTTTGGGTAACCAAATAGTAACCGAATTTCTACAGTTTGGGAAGATAATAAAATTACACTAAGTGATATTATCTTTAGAGGCTGAAAATTCAATGCTACATCACATTTTTGTAACTTCCCTAGGATATGCAGGGTTACCAGGACTGGCCAGTATAGTATGCTGAGTTGGTTAGTGGGGCAGTGGATCAGCTGGAGGTATACTGTGATCGAAAATGACTTTATTTTTGAGAAAATAGACTTTTGTCTGTGTGTATGTATTGTCACACACAGGCATATTATATATTTTATATGCACTGTAGCACTGTCCTCCTTTTGTTCATCGATTTCCTCGAGTAGACACCAGTAACTTCTCCATTGTGAGACTTGTTACTGTTACTGGCATATTGAATACGCCACGGGGAGCTTGCCAGGCTCTGCCATGCAGGTGGGATACTCTTGGTAGCTTGCTGGGCTCTTTGAGAGGGACAGAGGAATCAAACCTGGGTCAGCCACGTGCAAGGTAAATGCCCCACCCACTGTGCTATCGCTCCAGCCCATATATTATATATCCACAAGGCTGGAGCCATAGCACAGCGGGTAGGGCGTTTGCCTTGCAAGAGGCCAACATGGCCGACCAGAGTTCGATTCCTCCGCCCCTCTTGGACAGCCTGGCAAGCTACCTAGAGTATCTCGCCCGCACAGCAAAGCCTGGCAAGCTACCCTTGACATATTCAATATGCCAAACACAGTAACAACAAAGTCTCACGATGGAGACGTTACTGGGCCCGCTCGAGAAAATCGATGAACAACGGGAGGACAGTGAAACAGTGAATGTATGTATATATTGCTAGAAATCTAGACTGATATTTTTACACTGATTTGTTAAGATGGTAATATGAGATAACTTATTTTCGTACCTTTTGCTACTGTCAAACTTTTAATTCCTATGTGGGTTCTTGAGCTAGCTTGCTCCCTCTCTCCCTCCCCATACAGTTACGAAGCATTCAGTCGTAAAATGATCGAACATCCATCCCTCCATCAGTGTACATTTTTCACCACCAGTGTTCCCAGTATCCCTCCTGCCACCCCCACTGCACCCCCCACCTCCTGCCTCCGTAACAGGCACTTTTCTTACTCTCTCTCAATTTTGGGCATTGCGGTTTGCAGTACAGATACTGCGAGTCCATCCTGTTTGGAGGTTTTCAGCTCTGTAGTCTGTCGCTGGGGCTCCAGAGACCCATAGATAGCCCCGTGGCTTCTTGTCTCTTCCTTTGTTTTCTGACCATTTGGATGTGTGAGGGAAATGCTCTTTTACTACCCCGGCACAGATGTGGGGAGTTTATTCCCACTGTTGTGTCCCAGGCATGTTTTTGTCTCTCCTCCTCCCCAGCCATTTCCGTGGTCGAGGTGACTGGCTGTGCCTGATACAGGTGAGATTTAAAATGACCAATTAAATTAATTAAATTTTGGCAGAGTGCTCCTCTCTCCCCTTATCACCTCCACTGTCTTATTTTTCAGTGTCTTACTTTCTTGCCTAGAGTTCAGTTTCTCAGTTAGTTTTGGAAATGATTTCTAGGTCCAGGTAAATGAAGTTGATTTTTTACTTTCTCACTTTTCACTTGAGAACATTCATTGTATAAAATTCTGATCCACAAGAAAACAGATAAACTAGTGGTCTTAATACATTCTTGCTAAAGTTAACATGGATTATTTTTCTGCTTGGCACTTCAGGGTAGGGGTTTGATCAAAGCACTTCTGTAGCACAGAAACTTGGTAAAACATGGTGGTTGGAACTTGTTTTAAGATGCCTTATTCATCAACAGTGTTCTTGCTTATTATAAGCTCTGCCGGTTTGTTTCCAGGTTTGCTTGCTGACTAGGAGAAAATTTCAGCCACAGGACAATGAACCAATTTCTAGTTAAGAGTATTTCCTAATAATCTACTGGGTACTTTAATTTCCATTTGTGCTCAGATAGGACAGGTTTTATTTCTGTACAATTAAAATGATCTTCCAAAAGCTCAAATTCATCTTTTTTTTTTTTTATGAGTACTTTCTTTGTAGCACCACTGGTGTTTAATGTTTTTTTGCTCCACTGTGTTTTTGTTTAGGAAGGAGATAATGAAGACACCAATCATCTTTTTTTTTTGTAATAAGAAATTATATTGGTTTAAAATTAGAATTGTATATTTTTGGTCTTTAAAAAATTCATAATATTTCAAATTCCTTTTCTTTTATTATGGCAATATTTTAAGACACATCAAGCATAGAGTAACACTTATCACTAAAATCTACTACTAAATTAGAATCTGATTTAATAAATCCTAATTACTGATAGTGACATTAGAAGTCATCTCAGGTTTTTTAGTAGTTCTTGGTCTGAAATATTTTACTATACTCAGGCTATTTTCTTCATTTTTATCAATATACTTAAACCT